GTCTGAGAGTTTCAGGTAAAATTCAGGCTTTTAAGCCCTGCCTCCATGTGACTGATACTCACATCACATGGCTAACTGCCATCTTGATTAATGCAGATCTCTGTTTGCTGGTGTGCCTAACAAAACCCTTCAACGCCTCCAGTTAGTACAAAATACAGCAGCTAGAGTCCTCAGTACAACCCAGAAATCAGATCATATCAGTCCAGTTCTTGGTTTTTGAAATCATTGAATGGACTTGCACCATCATAAATCACAGTTCCTGACTCTTTCCACCCCTGAGATCTCTGAGCTCCTCTGACCAGTGACAGAGGCTTATTGACCACACTGCCACCTAACATCAGACAAACCTCTTCATTGTCCTCTTTTTAAAACATTATTATAACTTCGTTTGAAATTGTTGTTTTTTGTTTGTTATATATTTATTTTTTTATTTGTGCTACATTTTTTTATGTGTTGATTTTATTACCTGTTTTGAAGGGTGCTATACAAATAAATGTATTCTTATTACTGTATATAATTATTATTATTATTATGAAACATTGAGTCTGTCTGTGCCGTCTGATTGGACAGCAGCAGACCTCCAGACCCACTTTCTTTGCCCGGAAGTTTGAGGCCAGCGTGAGTCAGGAGATCATCAACCAGCTGGACTCCTTCCTTTTCGGACCGTACCCCCCAGACACGCCTGGCCTTCAGGCCTACTGGGAGAACGTCTACGAGCAGGAGACGGACGGGCTGTCCAGCCTATCAGACGCCACGCTCAGCCACTACCACGCCTTCGCCAGGATGGGTGTGTCCCGCGCCGCTGCCTCGCTGCGGGGTCGTCCTGAAGACAACAGCTGCAGGTACCATGAAGCATGGAGCAGGTCCTGAGCTGAAGCTGAGGCTGGACCAGAGAAAGGTCCGACTCCAACCCTGTCAGTTAATCATCAGCTGTTTCTGTTGTGGAAACATGTCGATGACTTTAGAAAGAAAAAAGTATAAAACAAATTATCTTCATCTTTCTGTCTCATCTGTTGGTTTCAAACTGGAAGGAAAGAAACCAAACGGTTGTGATGAGTCAGGCTTCAGAACAAACCTGCCTCTGAAACCTCCTGCTTCAGGTGGGAGGAAAAGATTCTGTTAGTCCAATTCTGTAAGACTGGAGTCCAGGATGAGTTCAAACCTGGACTTTGACTCAGTTTCTGGTAAACAGGTTTACTTTAGCAGTTAGAGAATAAAACAGGTTTTTGTCAGGAGCTGAGAGGAAAACAGCTTCATGTGTGTCTGAAGGGAAAAACAGGAAGTGACGGCCGAGCAGCTCAGGCTCAACGAGAAGATAAGGACAGTCTGTCCTGAGGGACAATCAGCCTTCAGTCCCTGCTGCAGACCTGCGTCTGCACCTCTGTGTGTGTGTGTGTGTGCTTGTTTCTGCTACAGAGTCAGGACCATTTGCACCATAGTCACTATCAAAGTGAGGTCTTTGATGTAACGTGAGGACCTCTTCAATGTCTTTGCTTTGATGCAAATACAAGGGTGTGTGTGTGCGCGCGTGCACCCTTGTTTTTGCTACTTGGTGGGGACAATTTTTCAAGAAAATGCAGCCTCGTGGGGACCGGGTGCTGGGCCCCACAACTTCAGAGGCTGATTTTGGGTGTGGGGGTTGGGTTTAGGACCAAGGTTTAGGTTAGGGTCTGGTTGGTGGTCAGGGTTACGACATGAAATTACCAAAAAAAGAATGGAAGTCAATGGATGGGCCCCACAAGGATATAAAAACAAGTGTGTGTGTGTGTGTGTGTGTGTGTGTGTGTGTGTGTGTGTGTGTGTGTGTGTGTGTGTGTGGGGATAACGCTAAACGGAGACTTGTCTTTTCTAAAATATG